GTTAATGATTGAATGAATAGATGAAAGAAAAAATGCAAAGGAAGGAAGGAAGGAAGGAAGGAAGGAAGGAAGGAAGCAAAGGAGGAAGGAAGCAAGGAAGGAAGGAAGCAAAGGAGGAGGGGAGGGAGGGAGGGAGGGAGGGAGGAAGGAAGGAAGGTGGAGTTCCATCATAGTACAAGATATATACATTACCATTTCACAGTAAGCTCAATGTAGGTCTTCAAATTGCCTTGACCACAACAAGTCCAGCACCTGACTCGACCATGACCATGACAAGTGGTACACCTTGAAAGGCAACAAAACAATATTCACTAAAATTTTTCTTTGCTGTCACAAGAAATTATAGAAAATATTAAATGAAGAAAGTTAGATTGCATATATATACCTCCTGCGACCACTCCCATGACACCATGTGCAGTGTTCATGGTGATGTTCACCATCTCGATACACACTTTTGTGTCCAGATCCATGACAGAATGTACACCTTGTCTGATGATTAAAGTAACACAACATAGATCACAAATCAAATACAGAGGTGTCACACAACTCCGACAAAGGACTAGCGTCCGAAACGTCAGTTTTTTCATCCTTTCATGGTGTAAAATTTACCCTTTTATCATTACTGTTTCATTAGAAACACCGACGCATCTCACACTAGTTTTTAGCTAGTTCTCTCTACTTTGGTAACACTTGGTTTGCTCAGTTGGTTGAGCATTGGGCTGTGTTGTGGGAGGTCATGGGTTCAAGCCCCAGTAAGACCAACAATCAGGGTCTCAAAACAACCAAGGAGAGGGTGCTGCCTTTTTTATAATATCAACAAATAGTTAGACATTTAAGTGGCTTGCATGACCACTTTAATTGGTGTTCCCCTCTCTCTATAAGTCATCATATTTATGAGAGGAACTCAATATCAGAGGAACTTAAGAGACCACTGAGGGTGAACACAGCCTGGGTTTCAATATGATATGGCTTTCATTATCATCATGAATTTCTTCAAGAATCTTACTTTCTGATTGGTATCAGCCATCATCAATAAGAGAACAGATTTTAGAAAACTTTGAGAATAAAACCTACCCTGCCACGCCCATAACAGTTGTAACATCTTTTGTACCCTGCACCATGGCACTCATGGCATGGCTGCAAAAAAGTAAAATAATCATCACAAGCCTCATCATCACCAGCATCATCATCATCACCAGCATCATCACCAGCATCATTATTACCAGCATCATCATCATCATCATCATCATCATATTTTAAAATTAATGCGCAAGGTATTATGGGTATACAGATGTCCCGTCATCCCTTTCGGCGTTACATCAGCAAGAGAAACATGGCGGATTTTGGAAGATTTGAAAAGATGCTATTTGAAAAGTCGCTATTTA